GAAACAAAGACTTTGGTACTCATGGTAATCCTAGTTTGAGCTTCGTAGCAAATGGGTTAATCCTTTTAGTTGCTCCATTCCTGTGCCACACACACACAAAACACAGAATGTCCATCATTGTCGCTTGTGGAAAAATTGACACTGACTGCAGTCTCTGCATATCCACTAGCCTATGCACACATTAAAAGTATACAGCAGCCATCAGAAGTGCCGACACAAACAGTCCAACATTAGAAATACAGTTCATCATCAATGGAAGCAGCAGTTACAAACAGATCAGCAGCTGTGCACACAATTAATTTTAGTCATGTAAGGCACCACCTAAACTGTGGCAACAGGCCACTCACCATTTTCACCAGCGGCAGCTGAGTGGTCAGCCGTTAGGGATTTACTTTAACACTGTGTGAGACCTTAGGAGTCTCTGAGTGATAAACTAACCCAGCAACTTAGCATAACTTTGGAATTTGTTAGAAAATTGAACAAACTTTGAATTATTCTCTAATATGAATATTCACTGCTCTTGAGGCTGCAAAACTATGGTAAGTCAAGAATTTTCTTGTAAAATGTTGTCATTGTAAACTTGCTGCTGATTTCTTCTTTTCTACTAACTATAACTGTATTAAACAAACAGATTCAAAATGTACATTCATTCTCTTAAAAAAAAAAAAAAATTTATAGGTATTAGAAATATATTACATTCTCTGTTGCCTTTATTTTTTACACTACACCCCCTGCCATTTTTGTAAAGGGAAATAAATGTAAGCCAAGTCTGTAAAACTTCATGGGTCTGAAAAAGTTAATGGCCTAATATCCCTAGATGTGTGTTTTTGGTGTCTGGGTCCTTGGTAGAGCATTAAATAGAAGGTAGTCTCAGGGGTCTAAAATGGGTACACATCTTGTGACTCATTCCATAACCCTATGATCTATATCACTGAGACTTAATGGAAAATTCTGAGTCAACCTGGCTTTTAAAAAAGCTATTGAGGTCACACAGCAACCCCTCTAAATGCTGTAATTAGCTATTATATTGACATTCTAGTGTCTTAAATCTACACAGGTGCATATAGAACCAATGGCATTTATGCTTTTCAAGAACTGGTCACTGCAGAAATGGCCACATATCAGCCTTTGTCAGTTGTATCACAACTGTGCCACAACAATTGGAACTGACTAAATTCAAACCGCTCAGGACAGAAGGGTTAGGGAACCTCTAGACAGTGAGAGGAAAATATAAAACAGCTTGAAGATACATATTTTCAGTTTACAGAGAAAATAACAATTAACTGGCATACACAAAATGCATAATTTGACTTGAAAGGCCATAGTAGTGAATCTTCACACTTCAAACTGACTACTGCAGACCATAACATTGTTTTCACTTTACAGATCACACCAGTAAAAAGTAAAATATTTAATATGTTTGTTTTAGTAATTACTTGCGTGAAGTAAAAACTTTTAGAGCAGTGAATTTTTAAACAGTATATTTGAGAACAATTAATTTCCAAACATGCTACATAAAAAATTTGAAGCAGTCTCTTAACTCTATAAGTCCCAGAGGGTTTAGCATCACAGGCCCAAGGGGTAGTCAAGAGAGACGTAAAATTGGCGCATTATGCGTTCATTGGGCTTCTAGGCAGTAACCTATGAACGTATCATGCGTTCCTTGGGACTCAAAGAGTTAAATGTATGAAAATAAAAGCAACAGATATTATGTGACCACATCATCAAACAACTGACAGTATGATCAGTTAGCCCCAAAAAAAGTAGTAACAGTAAAGAATATCATAATATTGAATGTTCCAAACTCTATGGCAGCACGCTGGAAGATATATAATTTTTTATTGTGTTTGGATAAATTTATATACACAGATATTAATTTTTTTAAAGAACAAATAAAGGAATGATAACAGGCATACTTGAACAAATCTGATATTATTATAGACACTGATTAATAATCCCCAGACCTTTATTACACATAAAATTGCTGAATGCAAAGAAACATTGTTTGAAAACAATCATCAAAGAGCAACAAAAACATACAAATTCTGGTTTTCTTCTACAAATCTGAATGAAATCCTTGTCTGGTTGTTTATTTCTTTCGTCTCTTGACACCATCTGTAACACATAAAATGTATTATAAAATATAAACAAATATCACAAAATACAAAACAAATTCTCAAATGTGACATTTTGTGACATTCTTTTGTATTACCGAGGAATAGAAATGTTAAAAGCAGTAATCCTAATTAGTTTTGCCAAAACAATCTAGAACACAATCTGAAAATAAGGTATCCTTTGCACTACAAAAACTGCTTAAATCAAATGTTTTATCCTGTTCAGCACTCAGGGTTATAACTGGGATATGTAGTGTTAATTGAATTCTTAGAGTGTATGTTTGTTATATTAAATTTATATATCATGTAATTATTTATATGACCAAAATGTAATTTGTATAATTTCAAATTTCGCTTTGATTTGGGCTGTGATTATGATAGAAACTGTACTATGAAAAATTAGACACTGATTGTGAATAACTAGACACTGACTATGAAAAATTAGACACTGATTGTGAATAACTAGGCACTGACTATGAAAAATTAGACACTGATTGTGAATAACTAGGCAATCATTGTGTCATTAGCATGGTGGATATATTGTTTCTTTAGTGTGCAAACACTGATTATTCTACTCGATTTTATCTTTAGGGAAAACTAATTCAGAGATGCCATGGGCATTCAGTATGGATTTTAGTCCTAGCAATAAATTACTTGACCCTGCCACACAGCTCTCTGGGGCTATTTATGTGCAACAAGTTTTCCATCGTCATAGGCAAGGCCAACAGCAAACACACACATTTAATGCATTGAAAGTAGTAGCAGTAAATTTTAATAAATATGCTTTCAACCCTCAGGGTTATAACTGCATAAGGCAGCTGTAAGAAGTGCCAACACAAACAGTCTGTTAACATTATTAATTGTAGTTAATAGTAACAAAATGGCGATAGAAATAGCAATATCAAATTTAATGGGGGGACCTGAATACTAAGACGTGATTGACTGCACAGGTTATGAAGAGATCATGGTGACAGACTTTGGAAAAGGAATAAAAATCAGGAATAATTAATGAGTGAACAGCAGTAATAATCAGTAGTATCAATAGTAATAAATAGCAATTTTATAGTATTAAATAATGTTTATAATTCAACATTTAAAAAAAATTGCTTGTTGAACATTATGAAAATTGCCACTAACTGAACCATAAAATTATACTGTGGAATGCAATATAAATTGGGAGCCGCCATGGTCAAGTGGCTAGATGCACATGTGTGGATCGGAAGGCATATAGCGAAAGAAGAGAAAGATGTAGAGAACAAGACAGACCAAGAACAAGATGGAAAGGTAACATCAGAGAAACTCTACAACAGCAGGATACGTCTATGGTTTAGGTGGCCACAAAAGCAAGAAGCTAGACCTTATAACTCATAACTTCCTCAACCCCTGAAGTGGTAAAATCGGAAGTGAAGAACAGGAAAAAGAAGGAATCTGCTTTTCAGATGAAAATCTTCTCATGATCATGAGGCTATGATATCAACCCCATTTCATAAAGTGAATATCAGAAAGATTTCTCGGATGTACAGCAGCCAGCCTGATACTGACCACATCACAAGTGTCATTTGGTCAGAGAAGTTAGGTGTAGCACCATATTACAAATATGCCACACAATCATCATCGTGCTGGGCCATTATGTGTCATACAGGGCTCACAATCTTGTATTGATATCAGAAGTAAATCGTAGTCATTAATGAAAATTATGTTGAAGTGGTGAAACATTTTGCCAGGGCAAATGCAAATTCATGACCACGTCTTTCTGTGTGCACAAATCTTGATGAAATGATTTATTGTTGTGGCTATTGAAGAACGTATCAAGCCCTGTGCATGCTCTCCGTAGCTCTTGCGTTAAGTTTTACTTAAATCCATATTGACGTGCAGCTATGCGAGGGTGAATAAATGGTCACCCCAGCAGTGCCCTCATTTTTTGCTGGAAAAGGGACTTAGGACATTACATCCATCAGCCAACTGTTGAAACTGGTGTCCTGCATGCAGAGTGGCTTGCGTCACTTGATAAGACCCAAATCAACAGCATATCATTCATTTTCTGTCCAGAACATTCAGATGTGTGAGGTAACGACTAGGTTGATAGATTGGCTCTGGGCAGAGCTACTACAAATTAAAACAGATGTGGTTGAGGCTCTATGGGATCAAAGGGACAGTTCAAAAGAACATATAAGTAATGCATACACTGAACGAAAGAACGAACGAACGAACAAACAAACAAACTTTATTTTCAAAGGGTTAAAAATTGGGCACGCAGGCCCGTCTGAAGACTAATTCAACGGGGAAAAAAAAGGGGAGGGGGGTTGAGAAGAGGTTCTGGAAGATATTTAACACTGAAGGGGAAACAAAGGCGGACTTTTAGTCAGGTTGCAGTTTGTACTATTAGCATGTCTACTCTTTGTTGGTTACTGAAGAAGGGGATGGAGCCCGTATGGGAATGTCCCGAGTGCAATGATGCCAGTTCTTGATTCGTTCATTTGTTCATTCATTCCTGGTTTTATCTCATAGTTACTCCTGCAACCCTTCTCAGACATCTTATTTCAAATAACGAAAAATTGTATCCCACATGAGGGACGACTTTTCGAGCAACTTTATATTTAAATTCAGATGCCTGTTTAATGCCTTTGCATTTTGTTGCATTGATGTGCTTACATTAACAAAAAGGAATCTTACTTTATATAAATTACGGCATGTGGTAAAGACTAAGATAAATTAACATGTATTTACCTGCATTTCAAAGAAGTGGTAAAAATCAGAAGACATACTAGTAAAATTCAACCTCATAACTTCTTAATAATGATAGTGCCTTTATTGCAGGTTGTATGTATAAATTTGCATGTGTCTGTAATTACCCATTTTCTTTTGTCTAATATGCTTTATGATTATTTAGAATTGTTTCCCTTTGTCCTTTTTGCACAACTCTGAATTAGTTTCTCATGATATTTCAGCATCTCTCTTGCTGACCGAACAAAGTTGGAAACCTTTGTCCAGAAACACTCGATGAGATTTCTGGCAAACATGTGCTGTATGAAAAGTTTAAAAGATCTGCAAAAGCATACCCAAGTATTGTCTAAAAAAAGGACCCATTTAAAAAATGCAAGACTTCAGACCTGACCTACTTCTGTAGCAGACAAGACAGCAACTGCTGGAGTGACTATCACACTAAAATGGTGTATCAGAGATAACCATTTGATTGTTATTTATTCTTCTTCTTAGCGTTCATCGGCTGTAAACTGCAGCAGAAAATTCTGGTTGTTCCTCCCCCTCAGGAATTTAGACTGGGTCCAGAATCTGAGTGTTGCATGCACATCCGTTTTACAAATCAGACTTATTTATGTGCAGACTGTTGGTTCCTTGCCTCAAGACAGATGGACTCTTACTTTGAAGAAAACCCCCAGTTAGTCAACTCTTATGACATGCTTGTCAGGAAGGCAGTAGGTCTATTCTTGTTTTACCTACACTGGGGCCCCGGAACCCACACAGGGATGTTAGTTATTGTTAGTGACTTTAGTTACGTAGCTTTACTACTGATTCTATTTCTTCTTCTTCGCGTTCAGCGGCTGCAAACTCCAGTGGAAAGTTCTGGTTGTTCATCCACTTCTGGAATCCAGTCCTGTTCCAGAACCTGAGTTTTGTGTGTACACCCATTTCACAGGTCTGACTCATTTGCAAGCAGACTGTTGGTTCTCTGCCCCTCAGGCAGATGTACTCTGACTTTAAAGAAAGGTACCGATTAGTCAACTCTTATGACATGCTTTTGGGCAGGCAGGGGGCCTATTCTTGTCCCCCCCCCCCCTCCACAATAGGGCCAAGGAATTGATTCTATCTGAAGTTTTTGGGTTTTAATCTGCATGACCAGATTTCTTTCATATATGACTTCAGCTCAAAGTCCACCAAGCCTTAAATTTGGTACCAGGTGAAGTCCTGGAAGTAAAAGGTGGCTGGTTTGATACTGACCACATCACCCATCATGGGCTGGTGTTATGCTGACCATATCACACATCGGGACCTGGTGTGATACTGACTACATCACACATCAGGTGCTGGTGTGATACTGACTACATCACACATCAGGGGCTGGTGTAATACTGACCACATCACACATTGGTGGCTGGTGTAATACTGACCACATCACACATTGGTGGCAGGTGTAATACTGACCACATCACCCATTGGTGGCAGGTGTAATACTGACCACATCACCCATCAGGGGCTGGTGTAATACTGACCACATCACACATTGGTGGCTGGTGTAATACTGACCACATCACCTACTGGGGGCTGGGGTGATACTGACCACATCACCCATCAGGGGCTGGTGTAATACTGACCATATCACACATTGGTGGCTGGAGTAATACTGACCATATCACACATTGGTGGCTGGTGTAATACTGACCACATCACCCACTGGGTGCTGGTGTGATACTGACCACATCACACATTGGGAGCTGGTGTAATACTGACCATATCACACATCAGGGGCTGGTGTAATACTGACCATATCACACATTGGTGGCTGGTGTAATACTGACTACATCACACATTGGTGGCTGGTGTAATACTGACCACATCACACATTGGTGGCTGGTGTGATACTGAACACATCACACATTGGTGGTGGGTGTGATACTGACTACACCACACATTGGTGGCTGGTGTAATACTGACCACATCACACATTGGTGGCTGGTGTGATACTGAACACATCACACATTGGTGGCTGGTGTAATACTGACTACATCACACATTGGTGGCTGGTGTAATACTGACCACATCACACATTGGTGGCTAGTGTGATACTGAACACATCACACATTGGTGGCTGGTGTGATACTGACCACATCACCCACTGGGTGCTGGTGTGATACTGACCACATCATCCATTAGGTTCTAGTGTGATACTGACCACATCATACATCAGGGGCTGGTGTGATAGTGACCACATCATACATCAGGGGCTGGTGTGACACTGACCACATCATACATCAGGGGCTTGTGTGATACTGACCACATCATACATCAAAGGCTGTTGTGATACTGACCACATCATACATCAAAGGCTGGTGTGATAGTGACCACATAATACATTAGGGGCTGGTGTGATACTGACCACATCACCCATTGGGGGCTGATGTGATACTGACCACATCATACATTAGGGGCTGGTGTGATACTGACCACATCATACATTAGGGGCTGGTGTGATAGTGACCACATCATCCATCAGGGGCTGGTGTGATACTGACCACATTACCCATCAGGGAAGGGTGTGATACTGACCACATCATACATCAGAGGCTGGTGTGATACTGACACATCATACATCAGAGGCTGGTGTGATAGTGACACATCATACATCAGAGGCTGGTGTGATACTGACACATCACACATCAGAGGCTGGTGTGATACTGACACATCATACATCAGAGGCTGGTGTGATACTGACCACATCATTCATCAGAGGCTGGTGTGATACTGACCACATTATACATCAGAGGCTGGTGTGATACTGGCCACATCACCCATCAAGGGCTGGTTGGTCTATAAAAATATGTGTCTAGCCTCATATGCCTGAAGTACTACTGGTATGTAAAGAGACCTTTATTTACTACTTATTCTCAATCTACGAAGGCTCAGGTGGTTGGGTCACACCTGGAGAATGGAGAAGGGCATAATCCCTAAGGACATCCCCTATGGTGAAATAAAGATGGGTAGAAGATGTCGAGGCCGACATATATTACGATATAAAGATGTGTGCAAGTGGGACATGAATGATACAGGTATTGAGGTGGACTCGGAGCCAAATGCCATGGACCCTGTTGCATGGAGGGGACACATCAGGAAGGGAATGAGAATGAAGGAAGGCATTACTGCAGAAAGCATGAGAGCTCAAACACACTACACACAAAATGTTGACAATAACGGTCCTGAAATCACATGCCATAACTTTCTTGCTAGTCATCACCATCGCCATGGGCTGTGAGTCTCATGCCTCATCAAAGCGCAATATAACACTTTTATCTGGAAAGAACGTAAAGGCACCAATCAATCAAATCACTTACTTTACTGTTATATTAATGCCTCCATGGAACATTAGGCATTGACCCCCTTGGACTGAAAGAGTTTTAAAAAACAAAGACGCAGACTTTACCAAACATGAAAAACTTGGAAGAGAAACTGACCTGATGCGCCAGATCTGGGAGTGAAATGCTTCTTCAGGGGCTGCCAGCACTGGAAGTAGTTGGCATCAACTTTAGTCGTATTTGCCCAATCTGTTACTGCCATACTTAGCGAAGATTCAAACATGAAGGCCTGAAATTAAAGAATATTGTATTTTTTTCCAAATAAAAAACTGACAGTAAAACATCTAAACTATTTTGTTTTTATGGCACCACAAATACATCTGTATCAGAAATAAACAGTACACAGAGCAAAAGAAGACTACCAGACATGATTGCGGACACCACATAGTATTGACTTTAACCCTCTGACTAACATGCCTATTAACCCTTGCACTTGCCCAGATGTCATGTGTTTTAATGTGTTCTAAAATGCCACGGTTCAACAATTTAACATAAACATATAACATTTTGTATTTTTTTGCACCAAATTGATCGGAGAACACATTTATAGGACAAGAAATGAGTAACCGTGTTTGACATCATCATCATGTGGCTGTAGATTGGTGTGAAAAATGCAACCCCCCCAAAAAAAAACATTTATTGCAATATTGTCTAAAATAAAATTCTATAGCTTCAAAACTGTTTAACATAAACCCATCATATTTTGCAGTTTTGCACCCAATTGAATGAAGAAATAATTCAAAGAATAAACAATTATGTAATCTTGTTGTATATCGTCATCATCAACATATGGCTGGACATTGGTAGAAACCAGCAACTGACAAATTTTCTGACACCAATAAAACTAAAACTTGTCGTTGTTTTGAAATAATCTTGGATGAAAGCTCTGCCTAACAGGGAAATAAAATTCTACAATTCATTGGCTGTTTGCTGAGTACTGAATGGCTGAATGACTGAACTGTTTAACTAAAAAAGACACCAAAAGGATCTTTTCCAAAACCAGTCGTAGCGGAAAACGCACTCCAGTAAACATCGAGGATTGTAGTAGTAGTAGTACATTTTACCCCACTAGGACATCCCACCAGCGATAAACACCCGATGACACAAAGTGCCACCATGTGGATGAGGATCACCAGTGGAGAGGTCCCGGAAACCGCCTTCAGTCATTCAACCATATTTATGGGTCAGAGCCAGGGTGGGGCTTCAAAATAACGAAAAACTGCATCCCGCGAGGCTTCTTGTCTTGTAAAAAAGGATAATTTGATCACGTTCAGACATTTTCAGCTATGTAGCTGATGCCTATAGTTGCGATCTTTATTGAATATGGTTTGTTTGAATATGGTTTCCTTCAGCTCCATTTTGTTATGTTGTTCTAAACGGTTAAACTGATATTGCTTCTTCCTTGTATCCCGCAAGGGGATGACTAGTGATATTTAAAACAATGAGGATTGCCTGACTGACTGACTTTCTACCCCACCAGGACATCACAGGAGTGATAAACACCCGATGACGGTGAGGATCACCGTGGAGAGGTCCCAGAAACCGTGTTTAGCCTTTAGGCCATATTTATGGCCAGGCTATATTGCGGCCCCTGGCAAAAGCCAGAGTAGGGCTTCAAATAACAAAAAATTACATCATAAGTAGGACGTAAGAAATTAACCAAATTGTTAGTTAGTTAGTTAGTTAGTTAGTTGGGTTATCCCCATTGCACTCCGGACATGTCCATAGGTGCTCAGATCCTCCCCTCAGTATGAACCCCAACGTCCGATGACTAATAGTACCAGTTCTATGTTGATTTGTTTTGAATTGGTCATGGGGGTGCGATTGTGATAGGCAGGTGTAAATATTGGTGGATGGCATAACGTGCAATCATGGTAGTCAGTGGGTTAAGAACAATACCTATAACTATCAACACATATGTGATATAATAATACTCAGTGACCTAATTATCATACAATATTTAAAGACCCACCATAGTTCCTTCAGCAATTTTCATTGGTTTTAGTTCGGCATTGGAAGCCTTCTCAAAGCATTCATAATCTGGACCATGTGGTGTCATAATACTATGCAAGCTGGCTCCACCAGGTTGGAATCCTTCTTCCTGTAAGAAAGATTTTAAAGAAAGAATATCAAAGGTAAAGTAAAGCACCCTTTACCAGACCTTCAGGTGTGATGAGCATATGTTGTCAGCATCATGCAGGACAGCAACATGCAGGCCAGCTATACTTCTCAAGTCTTTCACCGGATCCCATTGAAGGATGGGTCGAGCTGAGAGCCAAGGTCGTCTCTGAAAAAAGTCCAGCTCCAAAGTAAGTAAAAAAATAAATGTCCTTTTTTCATGCCTTTAGGGGTATAGGGCACATAGGGCTATATTTTCATAGACCAATCATCAGCACAAGATGGGTGATGTGGACAGCATCACGCCAGACACCCTTACTTTCCGGGACTGCACCCGGTACCCACTCAAGGCTGGGTTGACCTGGAGGTCAATGTAATTATTTTAGAAAAGCCATAGAAGAGACATATTTGACTTATAGTCAATCTTCAGCTTTTGATGAATTCATTTTCTGGATGTTCACAGATATATGTAGTATGACTTGGAGTAGGGGAAAAACGCAAAGTAATATAGCTATAGTTCTTTACGTGGCACATATGGGCACTAGACCGATCGATATTTGAAGGATGAATTGGTCAACATCATGCTGTTTCTGTTTACTGTACTAATATTTGTCATGCCATAATCACTAGAGCAGGCTGCTGAAACCTTACACAACACCAGTTCTGACTGCTACCAAGTGGTCATATTAAGAGATGCGCTCTCGGTGCTCCAAGCCCTCAAGAGTGGCAAACTTCCTCATTTGAGATCTGAACTTGGCAAGGTGGCTGCCCAAAAGTGTACTTACTGTACTCCAGTGGGTGCCATCCCACTGTGGTATACCAGGAAACGAAACCGCAGATAAACTTGCTAAGAAAAGGACAGACTGTGACCAGGAAGAGAATGCAGTAACACACTATGAGAAGAAAAGGACCATCCAGGCTATTAGAAGTGAACAGAGTCTGGCCAGAGATGACTACCACTTACTTGACCGGCATGGACGGGTCATTATCCTATCTCTCAGGACAGGACATAACAAACTTAACCAGCATATGCACAGGCTTCGTCTAAGTAGTTCCCTTTTGTGCCCTTGTGGGCTATGTGTGCAGACTACAGAACATGTCCTGCAAGACTGTCCCTTGTTCAGCCCATTAAGCGGGTCATTATCCTATGTCTCAGGACAGGACATAAACTTAACCAGCATATGCACAGGCTTCGTCTAAGTAGTTCACCTGTGTGTCCTTGTGGGCTATGTGTGCAGACTACAGAACATGTCCTGCAAGACTGTCCCTTGTTCATCCCATTAAGAAAGGAATACTGGCCCAGTGAGTCACCACTGTACACAAAGTTGTATGGGACTAAAAAGGAACTTATAAAAACAGTCAAGTTTATCACAAGAATCTGTCTGTCGGTGTAAATCTGAAAGCGAACATAAGAAGAAGAAGAAATGCCATAATGAAAGGCTGTCAAAAATATTCTGTCATTTTCCTTCATCTCTAATTGAAAATTTATGTTTCAGAATGTTAAATTCTCCCTTATATATGGTCAAAAATTTTGACTTGTCTCTTTTTGATGGTAAAAAAATTGTCATTGTGACTTAGCTTTTCTTTTCTGTTCAAAATACCACTTCCCTGATTAAAAAAGCAGAATGCTGCTTCTCTTTAGTGCATGTCACAGGTGAAGTAGCCATCTTTAAACTGTAGACCATGATGTCATGTGCTTAACACTCTTGACATCTTTAACAATAATACTGAAAGGTTAAAAGACAGTGGCATGGTCACTGTACTTTCTATCCCACATTTAATGTTCAAACAACCCCCCTCCCCCCCCCCCACCTCCCCCCCCCCCTATCCCAGCTGTTCAAGATATTTTCAAAACTGATCACTTCTGTGTTTGTTTATGTTATTATAATGTCCTTACAGCTGAAAACCAAGAACCAAATATTTCTTCTTCTTCTTCTTCTCTTCCAAAGTGTCGGGGGAAGATGTAATATTTGTCGATGAGCTCTGTCAAGAGCACTATGAAGACTGTTGCTCATTTCTGTATGGCTGTTCTTAATGCCATCACTTCATCTTTTCTGAGTCTTCCGCTCACTCTATACCCGTTGTAACGTTTCAGTGTCGCTCGCTGTGGCAGACAGTACTAGGGCATTCTTATTAACTGTCCAAACCATTTCATTTTTTGTTCTTTGATGACCTGTAAGACTGGCTTTATTCCTAGCATTCGTCTGATTTCCTGATTTCGTATTCTGTCTTTCCTTGAAACTCCTGCAGCTCTTTTAAGGCATTTCATATATGTTTTCACAATTTTACGTTCATTGGAGGATGTAAGTTCCACATTTGGCACTGATATCATAGTGTTAGGAACCAAATATTAAATGTAAAAAAATCAATGTAAAAAATTTGTTTAATTACCTTTGCCTCGTAGTTTCCATAGATAAGTCCCATGAATTCACTCATACAATTTCCTGAAATTGAGAAATACGACATAAATAGTTATTTTTTAAAATTCAAAACAATTACTGAATGGCCACTCTTCATGACTTGGTGAAGGGGATTTTATGTGTGTCTTAAACTAAGGTGGTCAAGGTTTATGGAATGGTGTATACTGGTGTGGTAGTTGGTTGTGTTCAAATCCCATTCAGGGTTATTAATTAACCTATTATCCCAGGTTAACCGATCCTAATATTGATACCAGGAAGTTTTTATAGAAGTAAAGGCAGCTATTTTGTTTTTATATGCTCCTACCTCCAGTTCTTGACTCCTTTGTGTCAGTGAAGGAAATGAAAGGATTATAGTCAACAGGCATTATTATTTTTAAAAAAAAAACTTTGAGATTTGTATAAGTGTTTTTATGTATTCTAGTTCGTCACGCTCACTGGCTGTAAACTATGCAGAAAGTTTTGGCTGTTTGTCCACTTCTGGACGTTAGTCTTGTCCAGAAATTGAGTTTTGCATGCACATCCATTTTACAGATCTTTTTTGTAATCACACTGTCGGTTCCACACTCTCAGGCAGAACTCTGACTACAAAGCAAACTCTTAATTAGTTGACTCTTAAGACATGCTTGTTAGGGAGTGGGTCAATTCTCAACCCCCTCATCCACCCCCTCCCTCACCTCACATGATGAGGAAATCTCCCGTGTGTCTTCTTCTGTGTGTTCAACAGCTGTAGACTCCTGCAGAAAGTTCTGGTTGTTCACCCACCTCTGGACTTTAGTCTTGTTCCAGGACCTGATTGTTGCACACACATTTGTTTCATACATCTGGCTTACTTGTGTGCAGACCATTGGTTCTTGATTCTCAGGCAAATGTACTCTGACTTCGAAGAATGTCCTCAATTAGTCGACTCTTATGACATGCTTAAAGGAGAGGCAGTGGGTCTATTTTTGTTTTCCCCACAATGTGGCTTCAGAAACTACACAGGGATGCCCTTATGTGACTCTAAATCTCATATTTAAAAATAATTTTAAAAAAAACTTACTGTGATAGTAGGGCGGTCTAAATGTATGCTCTTGTACAGACCAGCGTGGTGGGAAGATGACAAAATCAGCTGTGGCCACACCCGGCTTTAGGGAGGGACATGTCAAGACAGTGAATATGGATGGATCCTGTTGGCAGACAACAAAATTAATTATTTAGATACTTTAAGAACATAAAAGCGAGCAACTATAGTGCAGTGGTTAGATGCTTGATGCCCAACCAAAAGTTGTGGATTTGAATCCGTACTGTAACGTTGTTTTTTTTTTTTAATCACTGACCTTGGCTCCCCAGCTGACCCAACCCAAAATGGGTACCAGGAAATGTCCTGTAAAGTAAAGGTGGCCGGCATGATATTAACCATATTATTCACCAATTGCTAAATAGTCTCTGAAAACAAAATGAGCAAAGCGTTATAACCCCAACGCTTGTGAGAAGAATAAAGAAAACACAGTAATCAAACTTGGCTAACACACTAAAATAATTTCCCTCTACAGAAGTGGCAGAAGTAGTAGTGTTTAAAAAAATCTTCATTTACCATTTTTTTTTTGGCAGCCATAAGAGCAGTGAATATCTAAATTTGAGAATAATTTTTAAAAAATTAAAAAAAAAAATAATTTTAAAGTTTGTTTTAGTTTCCTAACAAATTCAAAAGTTATATTTTTTCTGAGTTACTTTAATCGCTCAGAAGCTCTAGGTTCTCACAGAGTGCTGAACACAATTTCAAAGAAAAATTTCAAAGAAAAAATGGCAGAAAATTGGACCTATACAGACAAAATATTAACTTTGTACAGTTATATATAGATTGCAGCTGCACTGATTTCAATGCTGCATTAGCCATAGTATGTTACCGTCTGAAACAGTCCTTTGGATGCAAATGTGGGTGACTATTACATCCTTTGCAAATGAAATGGTCCTCCTAGGTTTATCTCATCAGAATGAACAGCCTGCTGTTGGTGTAAATTCACTGTCCGAATCACTATATATAATATATATATATATATATATATATATATATATATATATATATAGTATATATATATATATATATATATATATATATATATATATATATATATTTCTTTTTTTTAATTCAATATCCAGAAACCATGATTTATTTGGCTCGGTACTATGGATATCGCAACCATTCGGTCTTGATTCCTTCTTCTTCTTCTTTCGTTCGCATGAAATAAATTGTCTATATCTGCAAAGCTGTCTCTAGTATGAATTTCACTGTCTTTTGTAATTCACTAAGCGGCCCATAAAGTTTGACTTCCACAAGTGTCTCTTTTGGCCAAAGGTTTTGCCTGAAAGTGTTGAGTCTGGGACAGTCTTGAAGGATGTGATCTGTTGTTTCAGGTGCCAGTCCACAAGTACACATGGCTGATCGGCCAATCTTAAATTTGTTGTACATGTGGGAGCGAAGTCGATTGTGCCCTGTTCTAAGGCGAAGGATAATGAATTGCTCTGATCTGTCCATAATATGGTAATCATCTTGTGCCAGTTTCGGTGGCATTCTGATTGATTTGATCATTCTCTTCTTCTGTTGATAAGAGACTGGTATGTCAGGTTGTTCTTCAGTTGCACCTTCCTTAGCTAGTTTATCAGCTTTTTCGTTTCCGGGAACTCCACAGTGGGAAGGTATCCACTGCATTACTAATTTACAGCGGTTGCCTAGTTCGGATAATAGTGTCTGTATGCTTGGTAATTTTCCAGACTGGAGTGACTGAAGTACTGCTTTTGCATCTGTCAGGAATACCACTGGCTGTGAAAAATACCCTATATTTAGTAGTTTCTCTACCGCTATCTTGATGGCTTGAACTTCTGCATCATAGTTGTGACAGTGCTTTCCCGTTGGTAATTTGGCTGTATCCCTGGTATTATTAGGATACTCAATGTACACTCCTGCACCTCCGTTTCTGACTGCGCTTTCTGCTGACCCATCTGTGTAAACACGGACCCAAAGGTTCTTCGGGTATTCATCATCAAGTAGACTGAGGGTGGCTGTTTTGCGCTGCACACTGTTTTGTTCTTCCTTGTCAAATACCCCTTTCACTTCAGTCTTGATGTGTATTGGAAACTTATACTCCTCTCTCCAGGGGGTCCGTTCTGGGACAGCATTTAAGGATCTATCAGTTGCAGGTAAATCAGTGGTTTGTCTGCCGAGCCGTTTGGCCTGGTGGATAAAACTACTTCTCTTTAGTCGTCCCAAAGCTAAATTTTTGAATCTTTCATTCATAGGGTGACTGGGCATACTAAGAAACTTTTCTGCTTGTAAAAGCATCTTGGTGTCTCTGCGTTCACTCAGTGCTTGGGTCATCCCCATTTTCTCCATCACAGCTATAGGTGTTGATTTCATACTGCCTGTGGTAACTCTGAGTGCTTGATTTTGCACTTTATCTAATTCTTGCAATGTGGTTTTTGATGCCGAACTCCATGCTGTTGATCCGTATTCAAGATGTGGTCGAACACTTTGTTGGTAAACTTTCCTAAGTATTTTCCCGCTAGCACCCCATGTGGTTCCACTTAGTTTTCTCAGAATGGCTACCCTCCTTCTGGCTTTGGTTGCTGCCTTGTTGATGTGTTTTCTCCATGTTAATCTATCATCAAACGTTACGCCGAGGTATGTGGGCTCCTTATCCTCTCTCAGGGGTACTCCATTTATGTGCATGACACCTGATTTTTGTTTAGGAGAAAGGGTAAAGAGGGTGGTGATGCATTTGCCTATATTGATGCTGACACACCATTTGTCGGCCCAATCAGCCATTGCATCTATGGCTCTTTGTAGCAGTCTGGTGGCCACTGTCGCATTTTCATTTGTACACCAGAGTACCAAGTCATCAGCATACATTGCAGCTTTAACTCCATGGGGTAGTTCAGAAAGCAGGTCGTTGATATAGACTAGGAAGAGTGTGGGGGACAGGACACCTCCTTGTGGGACGCCATGGCGCAGCAAAACTTTCTTACTCTTAAGTCCATCTATCTGTACTCGGGATCTTCTGTTATACAAGTATGCTTTCACCCATTTGTACATACTCCCATTCACCCCGCAGTCTCTCAGTTTCTTCAGTAGACCTTCTTTCCAGACCTTGTCAAAGGCTTTCTTCAGATCTATCCATGCCGTTAGCACTAGCTTCTTTTCCTGGAAGGCATCCTCAATTTCTTGTGAAAGGTAAGTTGTCTGGTCTTCTGTGGAGTAGCACTGTCTAAATCCTGCCTGCTGCGGCGTGAAAATGTTTTCACTTTCCAAGTACCATTGGAGTCTAAGGTTGACAATACGTTCCATTGTTTTACAGAGGCAGCTGGTAAGACTGATCGGTCTATAGCTGGAGGCATCAGAACTGTCCTTTCCTGGTTTAAGCAGAGGTATTGTGATTGCTTCTCTCCATATTTGAGGAACTTTGCCACTTGTCCAACAATGATTAAAGATCTGTAGCAGCTTTTTTTTGGCAGTTGTTCCAAGGTTCTTGATCATTTCGTTGGTGATTCCATCAGTTCCAGGTGATTTTTCCCATTTTCAGCTTTGATATTGCTAATTCTAACTCGCTGGATGTAAATGCTGCCACCAGTGCCTCAGGAATTATATCTTTTTGTCTTGTATGTTGTTTGTTTTCTTGAACCTCTCGCTGTTTCTCTGGGCTGACATTAATGTTGCTGTCTTCTGCAAAGGAATCTGCAAAGTGGTCAGCTGCCTGTTTTCTTGTTAGGATGGCTCCCTCTTTGCATAGTGCAATATTACCATTTCTTCCTGTATTCTCATCATTAATTTGCTTAATTAACCTCCACAGCTTCCTTGTGCCTCTTTTGAAGTTTAGAGACTTTGTCTTTTCCTGCCAGCTTCTCCGTCTAGCCTGCAGTTTGGCTCTTTGAAATTTGGCCTTTGAATGTTGGTAGTTGTTAAACTGCTCTTGACAAGGTCTGGTCTCAGCTTGTTTTCTTTCTGTTTCCATATTGTTGTGCAGTTGCTCCAGATCGCAATTCCAGTACGGTTTGTATTGTTTACGCGCACCTCTTGGAACTGCTTCTGGGGCTGCCTGCAGTATGTGTTTGCTCAACTCTTGGACTACTTTGTCTACGTTGTTATCTGTGTTCAGATTTTCCAGCAGAACATTTGTGCGAAGCTGATATAACTTCCAGTCTGCCTTCTTAAAATCCCACCTTGGCAGTGTGCTGCTCTCTCTTACAGACTGGCTTTCGATAGTTAGAAAGACTGGCCGGTGGTCACTGCCTCCTAGTTGCTTCCCAACAGTTCTGGTAACATTCAGTTCCATGTCTGCTGAGTGAAAGGCTAGGTCTGGTGTCGAGGTGGTATGCCATGCTCTAGAGTAGAAGGTTGGTGGGTCGGTTGGCTTATTAACGAGGATGAACCTATTCTCATCCTGCCAGTCCTCTAGTTTCTCTCCTCTCTGGTCCATATGATCGTAGCCCCAACTTTGGGAATGGCTATTAAAATCCCCACAAATGATCATATTTTCATTTATTAGTACTGTATCCAGTGCCTGAGGACGGTCGCTCGGACAGTAATAGTTGGTCAGATGTAAATCTGTATTTTCTAACTTGAGCTCAAGAGTTTGATACTCAGCACCTTCCATGTATGTTTCGATCCGGCCCGCAAGGATGTTATTTTTGACCAGGGTAAGAATTCCACCTTTTCTCCTGTCTTTGCGGTCAGATCGGAAACACTGGTAGCCTCTGATCTTAAAGGCCATATCTTGTTTGAGATACGTCTCTTGGAGGCAGCATACATGTACATAGTCTTCGTTCAAGACGTTTTCTAATTCTAATTTCTTAGTATTTACTCCCTCCGCGTTCCAGTGCATTATTTTAAGGCTAGCTGTATTTTCTGCTTTTCTGGTTCTACGGGGCATTAGGGGGAGGCTTCGAGTATTTGAAGCTGGACTCTTTCTTCTTGTCGTAGGCCGGTAATTCGAACCACGTGTACGTGAGTGGGTCACATGGTGGAAATCAAACTTATTTGCAGATATAGAAATATTCCCTGTTGCGTTTGTGCGTGGCATCCTGATTGCTGTGGTGCGCCTCCTGGCTGGTTGCCTCCGACTTCAGCACCTTGTTTTGCTAGAGTAGACTGGGGTCTTACCCGTGGACTCCCATGTTTATAATGGGAGCGTGGCTCCTACGCGGTTACATTATCGGAATTAGGACACGGCCGCCGCCGTGGCTATTGTGTGGAAATAATTCCGTTAAAACACCCCTAAACCACATAATACTTGTATCCACGAACAAGAGAATATCCATCGTCAATCGGTCTTGATTCCATGATAGATACCGTAAATTTGGGAGAAATGTGGCTATATATAATTCTACTGATAATGTACTTACAGCATGATCAAAGGCAACACAGTTAATGACCATGAATTTACTGAGGTCATATTTGTACGGTGCGTAGTTTCCATGCCAAGCCACAACGTCAAAGGCTGAATGTCCCTGTTTAAAAAAACAATTAAAGATGATATTCATTAACTCTGTGAGAATACAGAATATTTGCTAAAGAAACATTTCACTTACTGGATAGAGGATAAGTTAAAAGTCTTTAAAATTAGTATATATAGAAAGTATCTCAAGAGGATCTAACGGCCTCTCAAAAACAATACTGCAGGGCTCAGTAGAGGGAAAGTGGAGAAGAGGCAGACCAAGAAAGACCTGGTTACGCGGAACCTGACTGACTGGACAGGCCTCAGGCATGGAACCATGAAGTCCATTGCAACTGACCGCCAAAGGTGGAGGGAGCCGATCAGACAGTCAACAGAAACTGGTGGCCCAATGACGTGTAGTGTTATGGGATGATGATGATGTTGATCTCAAGAGGATATACACCATAAACAATCATTCACAAATGCATATGAAAGATATTTTTAATTTTTTTTAATTTTCAAAGACATTTTTTAGAATGTATTGTATAAGACTGGAAGCTGTGATAGAAAAGTATCTACATGCTAGCCTGCTGACCTAAAGGTCTTGCGTTCAAATCCACAATGAGGTGGATTTTTATAGATCTTCCAGGTTGTCCCAGCCTAAAATGGATAACAGGTAATGGCCTTAGAAATAAAGGCTGATAGCATGATACTGACCACATCACCCACTGAACAGACTTATCCAGTGTCCATGCTCACCATAAAATGCTGAATTAAGAATCAACATCACAGCACTCAAGACACGCCCATAAGCGCTATGTCCCCATCTTCAGCAGCAAGCCAAGAGCTCCGATTCCAATAGCACCAATATCTGTGATTTTATATCCATTTTGTGTTCCCTTGAGTGTTGAGCATTAGCCAGATCCCCTGGTAACTCCTTAAGCCATTCTTCTCTGATCGTATTGATCTATTTGTGCCTCTGCACTATTCACTGGCTCCCAAAGGCCCCTTGTAACATCTAGTTAGTCATACATCACTTCACCACCAAGTGGTGCAGAACTGACCAGTCTATCTGCCAACACACTGGCATCACCTGGAGAAAATATACAAAGGAGGCCAACTACCTGGGACCTCTGAAATGATGCTTGCAACTCTGCACAGAGTATGCCTGTCTCCTCATTTCTCAACATGCTCTGTGAGTCAGTTACAATCAACACATGTGTGCACAGCTGATTCTCAAGCCGGGGGAAGGCAGCAGTAGCTGCCTCCACCTCCATTCTCAAACTAGATGTTTTGATATAGTAAACCAAGCTTTGTTGCACTAAACGACGTCCATTCGCTTTTTCTATGAACCCCCATGCACTTCGTCTGCCCCTCAACACAGAGCCATCTGTATAAATAGATAATCATATCACTTGGGTGGGAATTGTCATGAATCATTTGTTGAACTTCTATTCTGCAGCACCAGCTGGCCAATCCCTGCACTCACGACCTAAAGTGACTAGAACCCTACACAAGTCTGAAACAAATGACAAACATGTCTAATTGTGTGTTTAGCTTGCGCCATCCAAGACCTTCCTCTTTTTAGTCTGTGACCTTTAGCTCTACCAAGGGCATTATGCAGGAGGTGCTTCTTGTCTGCAGCTACTCTGAGATATGACTTAGCTTGCAGAACTTTGAATTGTGCTCACCACAAAGTGGCTGTAGAAGGTACTGGTACTCACTACAATGTGTCTATTACAGCTGTGTTGAAAACAATGATAAAAAAGGTGCTGGTACTGCATAGAATTGGAACAAAAAAACCTGGATTTATCTGATAAACCAGAAACCATACGTACTACCAATGGTGCGAAGAAAAATTTTTGCTTCCTCTTTTAACCTTTTCAACCCAAAGAGCCCATTTTAAGCTTTGACATCGTTAAGAAATCCCCGAAAGTCAATATCGCAGCTTTACAGCATTGGCCAGTTCCAACTAATGTGGTTGTTGTTGTTGTTGTTATCGATCCAGCGGCGCATGAGCTTTCGCCCTTTGGCCCAATGCCATGTAGTGGAATTTGCATGTTTTCACAAGCTGTTCTTTTCCTCCGTACAAGGTGTTCCACTTGTCTGGTCTCGGAGGGAGTAGCGTTCTTCTTGCCTCACTGAGTTTTGGGCACTCAAAGAGATGGTGTTCAACAGTTTCGTAGGGGTAGTTACATAGCTGGCACTCTGGGGAGTGTTGTGGCTGTATTCTGTTTAGGTGTCCATTGAGTGGAGTATGTTGCGTTCTAAGTTTGAAGATGGTGGCCTGGTCCCTTCTTGTTAGATGGTTAATGCTGTCATTAGGATCAGGGCCAGACATATGTCTATAAACCTCTCTTCCAGTGTCTCCCATGGCCCATCTGTTCAACCAAGTCTCTTTGTTTATAGCTCTTATCAGTGTTTTTGCTGTCTGGAGGGTTGTCTCTGTAGGTGGTTGTTCTTGTGTTGCTCCTTTCTTTGCCAATCTGTCAGCTCTGTCATTACCTGGTGTGCCGGAGTGACCTGGAATCCACTGCATCACTATTCTGATGTTGTATGAGGTAATAAGCTGATCGGCATCCAGGATTATCTTGGCTATGTCAGTTCTGCAGAGTTCATTGCCCTCCAGAGCTTGAAGGGCAGACATTGAATCTGTGAAGATGACAATATTTTGGACCTTTGAGGGGTAAACATCCATTACAGTCTTTAGGTGGTATACTGCTGTTTCCAGTGCAATTATTTCAGCTTCATAGTTTGAACAGAATTCCCCGCATGCATCAAAAATCTCTTCAACAGATCCATCGGGATAACCTATGTAGATTCCGTAACCTGCTTTAATGGTAGCTTTAAATGCTGATCCATCAGTATAGACATGTATCCGTTCTTGGGGGTAAGAATCAACGGTCTCTAGTGATGAGTTCATAAGAGCGAATGGGTCGGACTGTTTGGTTTCCTCGCCTACCAATTTAGTTTGGACTTCTGGAGCTTTAAAGCGAGCATGTGGTGGTAGGTTTTTTGCAACATTCTGAATTCCTTGACGTCTTTCTGGGAGGTGGTATCTGTCCTGAATTTCATTAACACAGTGTAAAACCGATTTGTGCTTTATTCTTTGTTTGGGTTCCCAGTTTTCTACAAGATGTCTATTAGGATGGTTACGATTTTTCCTAACGCATCTTTCATAAATTTCTAAAGTGGCTTTTTCTCTCCGCAACCCGAGGGGTTCCACATTTGTATGGATTTCACATGCAGCAGTTGGTGTAGACTGCATAGCTCTGCAGATTAATCGGAGGGCATTATTTTGTACTCTGTCAAGAGTCTCTAGGTTAGTTTTGGAACAGGTTGTAAGCAGTGAGTTGTTGTACTCTATCACAGAGCGAACATATCCTAGGTATAAGCCCCTCAGAGTTTCCTTGTCTGATCCCCATGATGTACCTGCAAGTCTCTTTAATAACTGAGCCTCGAGAGGCAGGGGGTAAGAAGTGTTGGTGTTGTGGGTAGTGGGTTCCCCCCTTACTTCACCCTAGGTCTAGTGAATATCTGTTCACGAAAGGAGCGTCCATTGTGGTGTCAGCCTCTTGACCTAGCAAAACCTCTCTTACCTCAAGACCATTGTGCGTGGCGAAGAGTCACAGCCTCCCCGAGGTAGTCCCGGTAACTGGGGGTGCGAATCCCCAGGCAAAACACAATGGATCTAGAGGAGCAAACCTCGATAATAAACCCGGTGCACCACACCGTACTGCCCCCTGTGGGAGGGAAGGAACCAGAGGTGTGCTGAACAGTCTTAGGAATGGAAACAAGTATGCTAACCCCCTGAATACCGGAAAACTATCGTGAAGGCACAGGGACTCAGGACGTGACGATCCAGTTGCCCCAACTACTCATGCTTAGGCCATGCTTAGAGACATGAAGAGCTCAGCGAAACCTGCAGGCAATCTGGTGGCGGGGAATGAGAACACTGTGAGCCCCACCTTAGCTACGTGTTAAAGGGAAAGGCAGAAACACAACCCATATTTCCTTTAGAACTGTACAGGGCATTTCTAGCTGCTGCCCGGGGAGGTAGGTAATCCACAGACACCCCAGCACCACAATGCCATGAATATGTCAACTAATGTGGTAAAAGCTGACACATATTAGTTTGATTTTTGTACCAAAGCATGCTGGCATGTAGGGAAATGAACAAGCTGATCAGCTTGCAGGTAAAGCTATTGTGCAGGGCGGATGAGCCATGGACCAGGCTGATATTCTGAATGCTCTACAAGAAGAAAGACTTTTGCCAGAACCAAGTGATGACTGTGAATATGCAACAATGACAAGACTGCATGAACAACATGTTAAAAGGGGTGTAGCCAGACAAGAGCCAAATGCAGGAAGCCAAAGAAGAATAAGAAACCAACATAGAAGTGAATTTACTATAGAGGGGATCAAAGCACTTATGGACTGAATGGTTCAATGTGGAATAAGGACAATCTGTTGACTAACTAAGTAGTCCTAACTATGTCAAAATATTGGCTTTGGTAGTTTGTCTTCTTATTGTTCACCAGCTGTAAATATCAGCTGTAAGCTCTGGTTGTTTATCCATGTCTGGACTTTGCTCTTGTTTCAGAATTTCCCGTGTGGGTTCTAGGGCCATATTATAAAAGGAAAAAGAATAGACCCACAGCCTACCCAAAAGCATGTCGTAAGAGTCGACTAATTGGAAGCTTCCTTTGAAGTCGGAGTGCATCTGTCTGAGAGGCAAGGAACCAGCAGTCTGCATACAAATGAGTCAGATCTGTGAAACTGACACACATGCAACACTCAGGTTCTGGAACAGGACTGCAGTCCAAAAGTGGATGAACATCTAGAACTTTCTGCCAGAGTATACAGCTGGTGAACATGAAAAAGAAGAGGAAATTGAGTTCTGCATGTTTATCCATTTTACAGAACTGGTTTATTTGTATGCAGAGTGCAGGTTACCCGTTTTTCAGACAAATGTACTCCGAGTTCAAAGAAAACACCCCGACTCAGTCGCCTTGTACTACGAGCTTGTTAGCGAGGTAGTTGGTTTGTTATTTTTCTCCCCTAGATTGGGGCCCTAGAATCCACATGGGGAGCTTTTTTAGTTTGAGACTGAACACCGTTTAGAAGAGCTGGATATGTTGAATTTTCCCAAAATTGGATTTCTTTTACTGTAAACAAAATTGCCTTTAAAAAAAATCATTAGGACATCATAAGTGCCATTTGGTCTATACAAAATATAGGTCTAGTTCTATACAGGTATACCCAATACGCTGAAGGGAAAAGGTCCTTTACTTTTTATTATCACATCAGGCTATCCTCCGAACTTCAGGCACTAAAGATGGCGGCTGCAAAATATCCTTTCGAGCCACAGTCACGTGACTTAATTTGCGGTTCTCCGGCAGTTTTCCGGCGACTACCACCACTGCAAAGCTTCAGAAGGTGCGGAAGCTGCTGATCGTGGGTCCTAGCCATCTAGTTTAGCCCCAATCCACGCTGCTCATGCGGCATGGGGGACTCCTGGCAGTGGTGGTAGTCGCCGGAAAACGGCTGGAGATCGGAAATTAAGTCGCCGGAAGTGCGCAATTGAAACGTGACTGTGGCTCGAAAGGATATTTTGCGGCCGCCATCTTTAGTGCCCGAAGTTCGGAGAATAGCCTCACATCATTATTCAACTTTAGCAGTCACTGTATTATTGTTAAAAATAAAATGTTAACCAAGACAATTCTCAACTCTTTTTGTTTCAATAATTTAAAAAAAGTAAACAGTTTTTAGTAACTTGAATCAAAAGATCATATTTAAAATAAATAAATTTTCTTGGTCATCCCAACTCATGTGACCCCCTCCCCTCCCCTCCCCTCCCCTCTCCTCCCCTCCCCTCCCCTTTCCCCCATGGATTCTAGCTAGAAAGGGTAATTTAATGTACAAGACTGAAAACTACGCACCTGAGTTGCAGAAAACAAATGGCCATGATATTTGCTTATCACAGTGAAACCAACATCTCGATCCTCGTACCAAGCCACAGGTGTTAGAAAATCTCTAGGATTGGCCAGACCATTTGCACCTGAGTGAAAACATGCAATCATACTCAAGATAATATTTAGTACTTTCAATAAAAAATTTTCGGGGGGGGGGGGGGGGGGATTCAGAAACCATGAGTTGTAAACCCTTTGGCTTGATACTATGGATATTGCAACTCTTCAGCCTTGATTCCATGATAGATACCGTGAATCTGGGAAATATGTAGATTTTCTGCCTACCCCTAAGCGTGAACTCGGACCACAAGGAGTTTGTCAACCAGTTCCTGTGCAGCTGGTTTAACCAACTTAGCCAACAATTCTGATGGCACCAGTAACTGTCTGATTGTATTTCCATCTCACCCTTCCCTTGAACAAGATACTTTAACAGGATGAAGTACACATTTACATCTACAAACACAAATGAAAAATTATAAAGGATAAAAATAACATGTCATAAATACTAAAACACAACAATATGGTACTGAAGTATTGGGAGTGAGCACGCAATTTAAAAATCAGTGTGCTAGAAATGAGGATTTGCAAATAAATAGGTCACATTTCAAGGAAATAAAAGGTAATAAATAGACATAAAAGAAACATAACAACTGGAAAGGAGGTTGATTAAGCATAACATTTTAGAGGAAGTAAAAGGAGCTGGCATGATACTGCCATTATCATCCATAAAATGCTGACTTGGTTGTAAGCTCATCAAATATCATGGAGTGAAAGAAAAGGAACAATGCATTGTTTAATTACTTAACATGAATAATTTAGTACCTAAAGGGAGAATATACAATAATTTGAGCTGACTAAACACACTCTCATATGTTATCATTCAGTTATCTCACCTATAGGTCCCAATGTTGGCAGTTGAAAATGGTCACTAAAAACCTCCAAAATGTAACCACGGGTATCACCTGTGACATCTACACTGAAACGAATACCTCTCTGAAACAATATAAAAAAGGAATAGTTTTATTTCAAAACCATATAAGGAATGTGAGCTGTACAACCTGCCTTTGACTTGACCAGAATGGATGTGAACTATTGCTGATTTTTACAAACATGAAGTGCATGGTCGATATACTTCCCCAGATCCTGCAGTAATGGTTTTACCAATGACTGCATTTTCTTCTCTCTCGCTCTCTCTCCTGCTCTCTGTCTCTCTCTCTCTGTCTGTCTGTCTGTCTGTCTGTCTCTCTCTCTCTCTCTCTCTCTCTCTCTCTCTCTCTCTCTTTCTCTGTTGCTATTGTTGCTGCTGCAGATTTATGTATGGGGGAATTTCTCAGGATGTCTGTTGTATTGATTCCCCTAAATGAACCTATGTTCATCACTGTTCTCTATATCATCTCCTTGGTATTACTATAATTTCTTTGTCTCATTTTAGTAATGCATTCTTACTTTTACATTTCAATACATCATTCATGCGTTTAAATGAATAAATGGAATCAATCCATCTGGCTGACGTTCCTAACCAGGGCATTTAATTGGGTTAGGGCCCATATTAGGAGCATCCTGAAAAACCCTGCTTGGCTTATTTTCAGGTGAGGACTTATTTATCAGGCAAACTCATTAGATGAAATTATGCAAATAAGATGCAAAAAAAAAAAGTATATAATAAACAATAAAAGTGAAGAAATAATTTTATTTACTTTTAGTGTTTTTTTTATGCCAGGGGTTTTCCGTAGGAAAAATTATGCCCCTTTTCACTTCAAGTTTTTTTTAGAAAAATGCTGGTACACACCAAATGTGTCTATTAACTCTTTCATAGCAACATTTTTTTCTGGGGTTTGGACAGCATTAATTTTAAGAGGAATTTTTTTACTGCAACATGTCAAAGCTAAAACTTTCCTTAAGAAGAAATACTGGCTGTATAGGGACATATATCATATTAAAGAGAAATGAGTGCAGAATAAATTTAAACTATTTAAGTGTCAATATTACAACAAAATATTTTTTTAAATCACACAACATTCAAGGATGTTAGACACATATGAAGATTAATTACAAAAAAAATGTGCTCACCTTACTCTTTACTTGTTCAACAACATTGGTATCCATTTTTAGGAATTTGCATGCCTTCTTTGTTCACTTATGTATCAGCTAGTCTTTATTTGAAACAATTAATTGAAATACTTTGGATGTTGTGACCATTTTTGTATGGCATGTCTGATCTGACAACAACTGAAATCAGGACAACAGCTGATGGAAACAGAGATGATCCGATTGAAATATTTTGTTGAATCTTCATCTGAACCACATTATCAGCAATAGATTTGGCACATGACATTAACGGTCAAAATTTCACAACTACTGTCACCATCTGGCTGAGATTCATCAACGACAGTTCTAGACCTTTTCTCTTATCATTTGGTAGAGAAAAATCATGTGAAAATGGTATCGCATCGAAATAATTTTTAAAAAAATCAGAAAGTTATCCAAAACACCATGTGAACTTCCTTGACAGAAGGACTCCATTTAGCTAATTCTAGTTTTTCAAAACATGTTCACACAAATTCAGTTTCCCAGCAAACAAAACCATATTAGAATGTCTATCAAATGCCACTTTAATGGTAATTAGTCCACAAAGAGTTAACAGTAGGCTGAAAAAAATGATGCTCAAGAAAAGGTGATAGTAATACATACCACTGCATACCGCAAGAAAACAAAAGCCTGATTTAATCTACAGATAAGTGACATTGTTTACTTTATATCTCTAGCTTCCTAAATACTGCTTAGTTAAGAATTATTGTTTCTAACATGCTTGGTCCTTTTTAATTCACATGTGGCCAAATTTTATTAATGTTTATATGTGTGATATTTTTAGTTTCATACTTTATATCACAACTTGTTAAAACAATAAGTTAGGAGGTATATATTTTAATACCTGAATAACACAGATTTCATTTGGTTCCACATTCATCCGTCCCATCTCTGTTGTGATGAATAAAGCTCCTTGCTGAGGCACTGAAACAAATTTTTTTAAAAATGTCATGTTTTTCTTGTAATAAATATACAATAGCATCACATATTCAAATTTAGTTCTTAAAGCTATAAAGAGTCAGTCTTGATGTACAGAAGTGAATCATGGCTAAATTAGCAGATTGGGGAGACAACTATGTGGAAGTTGCAAAGATATGGTTTTATAGTAGAATGATGAGATCACAATGGGCAGATATAACAAAAAACAAACAACAAAAAAAAGAGCAATCATTATCTTGAAAGCTGTTAACTTACAAAGAAAACATTATCTGCATCAGAGAAAGACAATCCACATTCATTGTGGAATATCTTAGAAGGCAGAAACCGGAGTCCATTATCACAACAGGCAAGTTAGATGAAAATTATACTGGTGCAAGTCACCCCCCCCCCCCCCCCCCACCCTTCCTTTCCCATGCTGGCTGGACTGTTTGGCATAACAGTACTTTTGTTTTTGTTCGATTCTTTTCCAACTTGTTTTAAAGAAACAAAATATTTGCATACAGCAATTCTTTCTAAAATCTTTGTGTTAAATATTTGATCAGATGTCACTGAGTTGGCATCTGTGGCCTAGCATTAGGAACACGCTTCAAAATTCTCAAATACCCTGTTTGATTCCAGCTGCATGGTGATATGATAGCAGACTGGTTTGCTTTGATGTCAAAAATGGTATGGGGTTCTAAACATTCAGGAAGCAATGGCACACTACTGAATGTAAAATAGCCAAAAAATATTCTTGCTGGTTCTGCATCATCTTGTACAGAATGTGTCATTTGATATAAATTTAACTGTGTTGGTTAAATACAAAAAGGTTGGTTTTTTTAAATATTATTTTTTTTTTTTAATGTGAAATAAAGTAGGAAAATGATAACTCACCAATCAAAAAATCACCATCAGAATTGTACAAACACCTAAGAAGATTAAATTTACCCAAGGAATTAGGAAACAGGCAAAAACAAATTATGAAAACTAATAGCATAGTGTTCACCAAAAAAATAGTTCTGAGAGGATTTACTTTAGTACTCCCTGTATCTGCTTGTGTGTCAACAGGAAAGTTAGTTGGCCCATTACTTGATTGGCTCTGGAACATCTCTAGCTAATTTCTCTGTCCAGTTTTCCATCGGGTGTGAAAATTGTTCCCAAATACTTGAATTCCTCTGTTTGTCTTAAAGCGTTGTTTTTTAATTGTATCTCTAAATTGTCTCCCTTTCCACCATTGTCTCTGTCTTTATAGTGTCTATTTTCATATTATATTCCTCCATACTTTCTGCTATGAGTAGCTGGTCGTCGGTGAATAGTAATTCTGTAATATCTTCTTCATGATTAAAGTTTGTTTCCTTACATATGGTATCCATGTATGTTATTAAAAAAAAAAAAGTGGTGATAGTACACAGCCCTGACACACACCAGAGTTCACTATAAAAGTTCTTGACAATCCTGCCTTCGACCTTTTTCAGCATTTACTACGTGTGTACAGGCTTTTGCAATTTTTAATGAGATGATCATTGATTTCCTTTTTCCCTGTACACTCTCACAACATATTCCTGTCAACTCTATCAAAGGCTTTTTCTTGGTCTATGAATGTCAATAAACATGTCTTATCATGTTCTATTGCTCTCTCTGATAGTTGTCTCAATGTATAAATGGCATCTGTGCAACTTCCGTTTCATCGAAAGCCCATCTGTGCTTCTGAAAGTTGATAATTCATCACTAGTCTTAGCCTTCTTTCGATGATCTTAGCATACATTTTCCCAGTGTGACTGAGAAGTGATATTCCTCTGTAATTTGTACAGACCCTTTTACTTTCTTTATTTTTCCATAGCTGAATGATGACAGTAGTTTGCCAATCTGATGGTGTTTCTTGATTTTCCCTTGCCACCTGAAATATTCCCTTTAACCATATTGCTCCCACTTCTCCTGCTACCTTGATAGCCTCAGCAGGTAGATAATCAATACCTGTCTCCTTTATTCTAGGGCTGTAAACTCTGGTGGAAAGTTCTGGGTGTTCATCCACCTCTGGTCTCTAGTCGTGTTCCAGAAGATGAGTGTTGCGTGCACATCCATTTCACAGATTTGGCTTATTTGAATGCAGACTCTTGGTTCCTTGCCTCTCAGCAGATGTAATCCAACTTTGAAGGAAGCCCCCAATTAGTTGACTATTACAACATGCTCACCTGGGGAGACAATGGGTCCCTTCTTGTTTTTCCTACAATGGGGTCCTGGAAACCACATGTGGATCATGATAAACAAAGATGAGACATAACTCATACATGTGGATCATGATAAACAAAGATGACACATAACTTATACATGAGACACACATTTATCAATGAAACTGTCTAGACCAATACACTTATGCACAGAATATCACAACAAAACTTACTTGTTTTGCATTGATGTGTTGCAAGTGTAAATATAAATTGCAATACCACTTCTTGTCTTGGGATCTCCGGCTCCACAAATTGTGGCTAAACCCTTTAAAATGCAGTAATAAAGCTTTCACACTAAAGTCCATACAAAAATATTATAAATTTTTTTTTTCTATTCATTTGTCAAAAAAGCTTGTGAATATGCATTTTAAAAAGGTTACCTTGTTGAATGTTGAATTAAGAATTGACATCACAGCACTCGGGACACCCCCCATAAGCACTCCGTACCCATCTTCAGCAGCAAGCAAAGAGTTAAAATTCCAATGGTACCAGTAACTGATTGTATATCCATCTCGCCTTTCCCCTGAGTGTCAAGCGTGGACCAGATCCCCTTGTAACTCCTCGCAGTGCAATTCTCCTCAGACCGTAATGGTCTATCTGTTCCTCGGCACTGTTCACTCGCTCCCAAAGGGCCCTCACAACATCCAGCTTGTCATACATCAGTTCACCACCAAGTGGTGCAGAACCGGCCAGTCTATCTGCCTTTTCATTTCCCAACACACCAGCATGGCCTGGAGAAAAAATCTAAAGAATGCTAACTACCCGGGACCTCTGAAGTAATGCTTGCCACTCAGCACGGATCATGCCTGTCTTCCACCTTTCTCAGCATGCTCTGTGAGTCAGTTACAATAACAACATGTGTGTACAGTAGATTCTCAAGCCATTGGAAGGCAGCAGTGACTGCCTCCACCTCCATTCTCAAACTAGAGGCGGTGATATCATATGCCAGGCTTTGTTGCACCAAGCAACATCCATTCACCGTTGCTATGAACCCCCATGCACTTCATCTGCCCCATCTGTATTTACAATCACATCAAAAAGGCTACCTCTGAATTTTTAAAATTGTGTCACTTTATTAACAAAATACTAGCTTTTTTGTGTTGCTTTTTTTGATATATTTCCATATTAATCCTGGTGACATGATGCCTTTGGACAGTGGTCAGTACAACTATATGACAGCTTTTGACATGATACCTTTGGACAGTGGTCAGTACATCTCTATGACAGCTTTTGACATGATGCCTTTAGACAGTGGTCAGTACATCTATATGACAGCTTTTGACATGATGCCTTTGGACAGTGGTCAGTACATCTATATGACAGCTTTGACATGATGCCTTTGGACAGTGGTCAGTACATCTATATGACAGCTTTGTTACTGGCTGCAACTGCATAGTGTGTAAATGTAGTAAGTGTGCCTTAATTCTAACATATTTTTTTTAAATCAAGGATCTGTTTTTGTTGTCCTAATGTCTGAAATGTGGTTTTAGAGGTTCTGTGGTGTCAAGCAATTACAGACTCAGATCATTACCCCCCCCCCCCCCCAACCACACACCCACCCAACGCACACACCTACCCCCCCACACACACACGTGCACACACGCACGCGCACACACACACAATTACTTATTGAATTTATTTTTTATTTCTAAAATAGACAATGGTTAGAATACTTTTATTTGTAGCACATTAGTAGTAAGCAACTAGACATATAATTACATTGTCAGTAAACATAGATTACATAATCAAGAAAAGAAATAATAATCCCAGAATTTAAAAAAACTGCAAATTACTGCTTTTATTTTACCACTTTTGCAGTGTAGGCGGGGGTCTTTGAGCCTGAGGATTTACGGCTGCATGGCTAGTGCTGTCACCACGACTGTGCAGGTGAGGATTTTATTTTGTCCCTGACAAAAAGAATACCCAGCCTTACTGAGGATTCGAACCTGGGTCTCCCGCTTGAGAGCTCAGCATTCTACCATTCGGCCAGCCATTCCTCATCCCAGTATAACATCCATGAAATTGAAAACTTCTTAAACAAGTGAATCCATATAACTTTCTAGGAGTAGTCAATATCTGATGCAAGTTTTCTTGTAAAGATTAGAATAAGAATTACCATGGCATAAGGTAGTTCTTTGCAAGATCTAGAACATTCTCACTAGTAAAACATGTAAACTGCAGCAAGAAAAAAAGAGTACTGAAACTCTATATAGAAACTTTACTGTATTATGCATGAAAGCCTAAACAATAATCAGACAAGCTGAAAAAACATCTACTGGCAGAGAACAAGTTTCTGAGACAACTGCAAAGAATGTCATTGAAGGGCAGAAGAAAAAAATAGGTAGACAAAAACTTTGAACTAATTTCAGAAATTAGATGAGACTATCAAGACTGTGTGGACAAAATCAGGAGAAGTCATTAGATGAGGTTCCAGTATTACTGAAGACAGGCTGCCTCAATGACTGCTTCGTTCTTATTTTAGTTAAATTCACTAACTGTCCCATTTGAAAACTAGTGTAAAACTTGTCAGGCCCAGCAAAATCTTAAAGCTTGCATGTGCAAAGTTAAAATGCATAAGGTTGCTATCATATGCGACAATACCAACAGTTCCACACTAGAATTGCAGCTTACTGATGGTGCTAAAGGACAGTCATGAAAGTCTCCATTGCACCTGCAAAAGTACACATCATCACCTGCTATTGTAGTGCAGTCAACCACATGCTGGAAAAAAACCCATTCCACATGAGATCCACAGTTCACATTGTCGCACCAAGCACTCAACTCAGTAGGTGGGTGATGAAACCTTTGAACTCCTGTCCATAAAATGGAGAATTTGCATCAGCTAAACTTGCTGGAAACAAATAACTTGTTCAGAAGTCAGCAGGCTATCAGCCCTTTTAGCTAAAAGTCTTCAGCAGAAACAAACTTGAAAACTGTGACAATTTGCAAATCTGATAGAAAATAGATATATTGACAACATTAAAATTTCTCATATGTAATTTTCATATATGGAATGAGACATACGTTAACATACCTCAACAAAATCCTGTTTTCCCTTGGGAAAATCAAATGGATTCCACCTCAACTGAAAAACAATATTCACAGAACTAAATATACTATTTCACATGATTATTTCAAATAAAAATGATTACACATAGTGCTTCCAACAAGGAAATCAAGGTTAACATATTGAAAGCATGCATCTTCCCTGTAGCAACCTACAGATGTGAGTTGTGGACTATCTCCCAGTCATTAAGGAAGATAATAGGGGCTTTTGAGCTGAAATGCTACACACAGATTCTCAGAATACTTCAGACAAAGAAGAAATGCTGATATCCTAAAAGATCTGAACATCAAGAAAGATTAGATGAAATATTTTGGCCATATTAAGCACACAGTGGACTGGAAAAAATAACAGTAGAAAGCACAGTACTTGGAAGGAGGGGTAGGGGCCAACCAACACAAAGATGGGCACAGGATATAAGTGACTCCTTGAATATAAAAGTGCTTGAGGCCGGAGAGCAGGCGAGAGACAGAGTTTCTTTCAGGCAGACCTTGATGAGAGCGACGCTCTGTAAAAGAGCTGCTACATGATGATGACATACTTCTCACATGTGAAATGATAGTCCATGATGTGGCTGGTGTATTTGTAAGAAATAAGCTAAGTAGATATGATGTCATTATGTAGAAATATAAAGCCAAGTCTTATGGTAACAATCAAACATACATCTATGATAATTTAGCAGTCATAAATTAAAATAATTCATACAGAAACAACTGAAATGTAAACAAGAGTGCTAACAAGCATATCTGAAAAAGCAGCTCATTAGGGGGTTTGCTGAAATTAGATTTATTGGGCCAAAAGGTGCAGATTTGGCAGCTTAGCTGTAGGCACAACATGTCACCACCATTTTAATGCAGAACACAAAAGAAGAATATACAAAACACACAAATAGGAAATTGAACTTGCCTGGTTTGGATTTGGTTCTACTGAATCCCAGTCATGAGTAATAAGACCTTTATCAATTTTTTTGAATGGTGTATGAACAACAGAGGGTCGGATTCGGTAAAGCCATCTGAAATTGATCAGTTCCATAATACAACAAAAATAATACATATGTTAATAATCTTTTGACCCTGTCCCTCCAAGAAGATTCGATATAGTTACTTCCAGTTTTGATACATTCCCTGTAAATGCTAATGTATCACATTTCTGCAGGGAGGTGTTCTTACATTACATAACATAACCCTTGACCTGTTAGGGTCATAGAGGTGTACTGATAAAGCACTGGCACAAAAAAACCTGTCATCTTTCTGTGTCTTCCAGTTGATGAATGAGTGTATGGTAACTTAGTCCTTATTTCTTGATGTCATCTTTCCAGATCTTCTTTGCCCTCCTCTTCTTTGAGTACCCTCCAATGTTACTTGAAGCACAGTCTTTGCAATCGAATCATGTCTCACCATGTGCCCGAACCAAGCTAGCTTGTGACATTTCACCACTGCCAAGAGAGGCTCCTGATATCCTGCAAATTTGTATAGCTTGTCTCTGATCTATTCTCGAAAATCATTGAAAATTTCATTTGTTCTATGTGCACCTGCGCAGTGTTTAGAAGTCCTAAATAGCATTTAGATGGTTTTTCCTTGAACCAAAGGGCTTTTATAAAGTCAAGTTCACATCAAATTTTCCCATAAGCTTCACAGATAAGGGTCAAGTGTCACAGAGTCATCCGATACATACTTTAATTAAACATTTATTAAGGCCCTGGGGAATGCATTCCATTTAATGCTTCACTGTGGTCATGTTTATTAATTATTACCTCTATATATCTTTTGCATAGATTTTTATCATGATATGGGGCGTCGCAGGTCAATACAGCATAAAATTGGTACCAGAATTTATGTCCTGGGGAAGTAAAGACGGACGGCGTAATGCTGACCACATTACCCACCTAATGCCAATTGGTCTGTAAAAATATGGGTGCTCTTCCCATATGCTCGATCCACCTAAAGGCGTGAAAAGGGATCTTTTCTTTACTTTGTATAGCTCTGAAAATTTTCAAACAAAAATTTAATGAATGTATTAGTCGGCGTCTGTGGCTTAGGCATTGCGAACACACTTTGTAATGCCGGGGTGCCGGGTTCAATCCAAACTGTGTTGGTTTTGACAGTGGTACCAAGAGCTGACGGTTTAGGAAGCAATGGCAAACTAATAAATATAACATTTGCCTAGGAAAAAAAACAACAGGCAACAAATGCTGGGGTTGGTTCTGCAATGTCCTGTAAAGGATTCGAACTAACTCAAGTTGTGACCTGGTAAAATGGCTGTTTCTCAAGAGTATTTTTTTCTTGGGTGTGAAGCCCCATGGGTTTGTGGCCTATTGTTTTTTTTGGTTTGTTTAAGGGTCCCAGGGAAAATGGCTAACACAAATTTCAAACTCCTTATTCACATATGTTAATATGTAATAGATACATTCTCTAAAAATAAATAAATAGTAGTAGAAGCGGCTATCTTACGTTCTTTTATTTTCATGTCTCAAGGCTGTGAATGCTGATCCTGAAAGTTGCTCTGCATATAATCCATATGGGCATTTTTGTGGGTTGTTCTAAAAGTTAAAAAAAAAAAAATTAACAATGTATAGTGAAAACACTTATGCCATACCAAAATAAATAACACACACACACGCATACAAATACTCTATGCATTTGCTTTAGGGAGTCCAGTGAATAGCTATTTTTTTTCTGAGATCTCTGAGGATCATGCCAGGGCTGTGGAGTTCCAGTTTTGTGATTGTCATTTGTAGAGGACCAGCTATTTATGCGGAGAGAGATCTAGCCAAAGGGGATACAATCATGTTCAAATATGCAGACCCTTTTACATTTAAACATTTGTTGGAGTTGAAAATTCATCATTTATCCTTTGTTAAATTTGTCAGTACAGTTCTTTATAGTAGGGCTTTTTAACTAAGTTTACTCTGGGGCCGAAATGTTTTTTAAATGGGGTTTGCCATGGGTCAGATGGCCAAGCCACAGCATAGAAAGATCATTCATACAACCGGCAATGATCTGCAGGCCATTTTCTAGGCTTCCACGGGCCACATTAGGCCTGTGGGCTGCCAGTTCTATAGTGTTTCTGTAGCAAAGTCATCAAGCTGTTTGCTCCATGCCTCACTAACAACACTAGATGAGACAGGGTTACGAACACCAGCATTTTAGAGATAGTTGGAATAAGACCATGTCTAAATTATGTTGACAGACAAATAATGAAATGGTTCAGCCGTCTAGTGAGAATGCAGCCAGACCAGACTGCACATGAGACTTTTTTTAGCAGTAGAACATCTAGGAGGAAGGTGGGAGGAAGGTGAGAGGAAGACCAAGAAAGAGATGGATAAATGGTGTGGTTGAAACCTGCAAAAAGATGAGCAGTATCACTCAAGCCACTCGAAAAGCATAAGACAAATACAGAAAACAACGACACTAGGCTACAACCTGGTATCAGTGAGATGACAAAACCACAACACTGGGCTACTACCTAGTAACAGTCAGATGACTAAACCACGACACTGGGATACAACCTGGTAACAGTAAGAGGACAAAACCACGACACTGGGCTACAACCTGGTATCAGTGGGAATGACAAAACCACGACACTGGGCTACTACCTGGTAACAGTCAGATGAATAAACCACAACACTAGGCTACAACCTGGTATCAGTGAGAAGACAAAACCACGACACTGGGCTACAACCTGGTATCAGTGAGACGACTAAACCACGACACTGGGCTACAACCTGGTATCAGTGGGAATGACAAAACCACGACACTGGGCTACTACCTGGTAACAGTCAGATGAATAAACCACAACACTAGGCTACAACCTGGTATCAGTGAGAAGACAAAACCACGACACTGGGCTACAACCTGGTATCAGTGAGATGACTAAACCACGACACTGGGCTACAACCTGGTATCAGTGAGATGACTAAACCACGACACTGGGCTACAACCTGGCATCAGTGAGATGACAAAACCACAACACTGGGCTACAACCTGGTATCAGTGAGATGACTAAACCACGACACTGGGCTACAACCTGGTATTAGTGAGACGACAAAAAAAGAAGAAGATCCTCTTGTTTACAACTTAGTACTAGGCTGCTTTAGTTGTTCTATCCATATGCCTCTTGTTTTTCCCATACAGGCTGTTACCTGGTTTAACAGCCCTAAGACTTAAAGACTCTCATACTTGATTCCAAACCAACAGATCGAATCCCTTATACCCTGTTCCCAAAGAAATTAGAAATATGGTACCAGTTATGACCACATCCACCTGCAATTATGTTAGTAAATATTATAATGTAGTATTATTTTTCTTTCCAAAAATTTTTTTTACTTCAGAATAACAACTACTATGTCTAAAAGGATTTATGTAGTAAGCCTACTGTAAAAAGAAATAAGTTAATGCAGCTAAAAGTAAGTTATTGAAAAAAAAACTAAAAGACAATTTTTACATCAGGGAGGTCCGTATGTGGATGCCGGGCCACATTTTTTTGTTGGGGGGGGGGGGGGATGGTGAATGGGGTGTGATCCACTGCTTCCCTAAAAAAATCATGTCGCAGTCGCAAAAGGTAAGCATGTCGCAGTCACAAAAGGTAAGCATGTCGCAGTCACAAAAGGTAAGCATGCGCAGTCACAAAAGGTAAGCATGTCGCAGTCACAAAAGGTAAGCATGTCGCAGTCACAAAAGGTAAGCATGTCGCAGTCACAAAAGGTAAGCATGTCGCAGTCGCAAAAGGTAAGCATGTCGCAGTCACAAAAGGTAAGCATGTCGCAGTCACAAAAGGTAAGCATGTCGCAGTCACAAAAGGTAAGCATGTCGCAGTCACAAAAGGTAAGCATGTCGCAGTCACAAAAGGTAAGCATGTCGCAGTCACAAAAGGTAAGCATGTCGCAGTCACTAAAGGTGACTAAACACATACATTTCCTTCTAATACAGAGTGCATCTGCTTGAGAGGTAAACCACAAGCAGTCTTCAGACAAATAAACGAGATGTATTAAAATGAATGTGCACCCAAATTTGAGTTCTGGAACAAGAGCAAAGTCCATAAGTTGGTGAACAATCAAAACTTTCTGCCGGAGCTGACAGCAGGTGAATGCTAAGGAGAAGAAGCTGCCAATGAGGCACTGGGCATGTGTGGTTATACTGATATTGTTATAGGTGGATCGGCACTCATGGACGATGTTGTCAACCAGTTGTCTTTACTTCAAATGGCATTACCTAGGTAGTGAGCATACTCTAGTTGTTTTCTCCAGGATTTGCCAGCGTGGTGGGTAATGAACAGGCAGACAGATTGGCAGGATCTGCACCACAATAGAAATACATTCTAAGCCACATACCTGTCCCTCTGGCAAGGCACCAGGACATCTTGGATCTTCAGTTGCAAATTCATTGTCAAATCCTGACAGGTACTAGAATTAAAGAGAGGAATGATATATATATATATATATAAAACTGAACAATATGTGCATAAACATATTGGTTCTTCTTGTTTTTCTTCAACATTTCAAGGTCTTCATGTTTATTGCTGCAGAAATCACCCACCTCCATTAATCTACATAAATTATCACATACACTGAATACATAATCTATATACTCCCTGTTGTTGGCCCCTTTCTGCCTTCCCAGACATTGTTATGTTATGTGCTATAGGCAGACATGGGAATCATAGACTGGTATTGCAAATTAAAGCCAGGGATGAATTTCCTCTTGTCCATAGCACAAAGCCTGGGCAGTATTATAAAGACAAGTTGTTGCCCACACAAACTGATCCCTCTCTCTGCCTGCTTTGTTTATTTCAAAGTAATGGTAACACCAACATGACTGGAAAAAGCATGCTGCTGAAGTTGCTCGTTCAGAAAATCAGTGCTTTGTCTGCCTGTTGGAGTTTCCCTGCTAAACCAGCATCCAACTAGTCTATATAATACCTGCTTACTTAGTCGATCCTCTTCTATCAAGGGGTGTAGACGTTTGCCAGAGAGATCCTCAGACTTCTCGGTCAACAGTTTTCATTTTGGCTTTGTTCCATTCCAGTCTTGTGTAAGGGACTGTTAAATGTCTTCCCAGTGAACCCTGGTTTGTCCTGGAGGTCTGTTTCCCTGGTTCTTGGCCTCCCAAGGCTAAACTATATAAGTGAAGTAGAAACTAAATGAAGCTAGAACTATATGTGTGAAGTAGGAACTATATGTGTGAAGTAGAAACTATTTGAGTGAAATAGGAACTGTATGAGTAAATTATGAGCTATATGAGTGAATTAGAAACTATAGGAGAGAAGTAGGAACTGTGTGAGTAAATTAGGAACTATTTCATTGGATTAGGTACTATATGTATGAAGTAGGAACTATACGAGTGAAGTAAGAACTATATGTGTGAAGTAAGAACTATATGTGTGAAGCAGGAACTATAAATGTGAAGTAGGAACTATATGTGTGAAGCACGAACTATATGTGTGAAGCAGGAACTATATGTGTGTAGTAGAAACTATATGTGCGAACTAGGAACTATAAATGTGAAGTAGGAACTATATGTGTGAAGCAGGAACTATGTGTGCAGAGTAGGAACTATATGTGTGAAGCAGAAACTATATGTGTGAAGCAGGAACTATATGTTTTAAGTAGGAACTATATATGTGAAGTAGGAACTATATGTGTGAAGTAGGAACTATATGTGTGAAGCAGGAACTATATGTGTGTAGTAGAAACTATATGTGCGAACTAGGAACTATAAATGTGAAGTAGGAACTATATATGTGAAGCAGGAACTATATGTGTGAAGCAGGAACTATATGTTTTAAGTAGGAACTATATATGTGAAGTAGAAACTATATGTGTGAAGTAGGAACTATTTGTGTGAAGCAGGAACTATATGTGTGTAGTAGAAACTATATGTGCGAACTGGGAACTATAAATGTGAAGTAGAAACTATATGTGTGAAGCAGGAACTATATGTGTGTAGTAGAAACTATATGTGCGAACTAGGAACTATAAATGTGAAGTAGGAACTATATGTGTGAAGCAGGAACTATGTGTGCAGAGTAGGAACTATATGTGTGAAGCAGGAACTATATGTGTGAAGCAGGAACTATATGTTTTAAGTAGGAACTATAAATGTGAAGCAGGAACTATATGTGTGAAGTAGGAACTATATGCATGGAGTCCAAACTATATGTGTGAGGTAGAAACCAAATGAAATAGGAACTATATGCGTGAAGTAGGAACTATATGAGTGAAATAGAAACTATATGAGTAAATTATGAACTAGATGTCTGAAGTAGGAACTAAATGAGGGAATTAGGAACTATATGAGTGAAGTATGGATATATGAGTGAAATAGGAACTATATGAGTGAATTAGAAACTATTTGAGGGAAGTAAGAACTATATAAGTGAAGTAAGAACTATATGAGTAAAGTAGGAACTATACTATGTGGGAAATAGGAACTACATGGGTGAATCAGAAACCATAGCCTACTATTACTTAAAAGGAAATGCATATAACTAGTACACAAAACTGGGACGAAGTGAAATATTTTGGCCACATTACCATACACTTGTAAATACCATAAAGTTGGAGGGAAGTGAGCAAGAGATAGACAATTAAACAACTGTAATGTGAACAAGAGGTGGGTGAAAGGGAGGCAGAGAGTGAGAGATGCATTACAGCCAAACCTTTGCTGTGAAAGGGACACTCTGTTGATCTATTTTCTTAATCCTTTTTTGTTAAGTATTATTTTTACATTCAATCAGAAGTGTTACTGTTGCTCCACCCAAAAATATTTAAAAGCTACTGAAACCCAAAAGTATATATAACTGTAAAGTGTCCTTAACCAAAGCAGAAATTGTTTCAGTAACTGCCTAGGATAGAGTTGTTATGATTCTTACTACTTTACAGCTTAATATCATGTATGGGTTAGTTCGACAATAGTCTCCCCAAATAGAGTAGGTCACTTTTCATTCACAAGTTTGTTGGGCTGGTCGACTTTCCTGGAGGTTACGGGTGTGACTTGCTCTGTTGTTTGGTTTCTGCAATGTCTTGCATTTCTATTATATTTTCCTAGAAAGAGAATGCCTGTGACATAGGTATAAATATACAACACGCAATAACAACAGGATTGCGGAACAACACCGTAACCGTGTGCGAAGATCACAGGGCTCAGGAACTACCAATCAGAAGTGAGCTAGTGTGTATATAGGCGGGGTCTGGGGAGACTAACATCGAACTAACCCATGTATGTGTGCCATTTCCACAATAAGAATAAATGCATGAATGAATGAATCAAGAACTGACATCACTGCACTCTGTACACTCCCTGACATGCTCCGTCTCCTCCTTCAGTAACCAACAAAGAGTCAACATGCTAACAGCTGCAAGCCAAAAAAAAGTCTATGTTTCTCCTCAGTGATAAACATCTTCCAGAACCTCTACTCACCCCACGTTGAATTAGTCTTTTTAGTGTATGGGTTCCATGTCTATTCAACTGCACTGCCCATTTACACAAAATCAGATGACTTCTAGGAATAAAGCCAGTCTTACAGGTCACCAAAGAACAAATGAAGTGGTTTGGACACCTAACAAGAAGGCCCTGGTACTATCTACCACAGCAAGCTACCTAAAACGTTACAACGGGTAAAAAGCGAGTGAAAGACCTAGGAAAAGATGGAGTGATGGCATTAAGAACAGCATTACAGAAATAAACATCAGTCTCAACAGTGCTCTTGACAGAGCTTATCAACTAATGTTACAACTCCCTTCAACAATTCAATGAGGTACAAGGTGGAAGAGAAGAAAAAGAGGAAAAGGTCCATTTGATCCAAGAGAGCCTTCATCAGATCAACATATGTATGTTTGTATTTATGTGTGTGCAAATGTGTGTGTAGGAGTGTGTGTAAGTATGTATATGTGTTATGTATATAGGTGTTGTGAGTGAGTGGGTGGGAGTATTGAATGTGGGTATGTGTGTGTGCGAGTGTGCTCATGCATTTTACCACCCATGCTTTTGTATATTTTTTTTTCTTGGTATTCATAGAATGCATATTAGTATGAAAATGACAATACCCTTCTTTATTATTAAAAGTCAACTGCTGTGTGAAAGATGGGTGTTTGAAAAGGCTGAATATAAGATGGGCCTGCGAGCCCAATTTGTGACCCTTTGAAAATAAAGCTTGTTCTTTCATTTGCTTTATCATAAAGTAACCCACTGCCCAATTGATTAGTCTGCTCATTGCCTGGCACACCCAAATGTTCTGGACAGAAAAATTAATCATATACACTTGTTCAATCTTTTCAACCCGGGTAGTTAGCATGCTTTAGATATTTTCTTCAGGTCATGCCGGTGTGTTGAGAAATGAGCAAGCAGATAGACTGGTCAGTTTTGCACCACTGATTGGTGAATTGATGTATGACAAGCTGGATTTTGTGAGGGCCCTTAGGGAGCGAGTGAACAGTGCTGAGGAACAGATAGATTATTATGGTCTGAGGAGAATGGAACTGTGAGGAGTTACCAGGGAATCTAGCTGATGCTTGACACTCAGGGGAAAGGCGAGAGGGATATACAATCAGACAGTTACTGGCACTATCCTAATTTTAACTCTTTGCTTGGTGCTGAAGATGGGGACCGAGAGCTTATGGGGGTGTCCTGAGTCAATCTTTTCAAATGATGCCAGCCATTCAGCAAACAGGACGCTTGTTTCAATTTTACAAATCATGTTCCGTAAGTGTCTTTCAAAAATGACAACAAGTCGGTCTGTGCAGCTCTCAAGCCATGCAAAGCTGCTGTTTCGTTTCCACAATGAAGACGACTGCCGTCTCTGTGAACGTTTTGTGATGTTCCCAACATCTTCCCCGGGGTAACGCTCGTAGCACTGTTTGAAAACGCGAGAGCAAGCTTTTTTTTTTTTAATTACAAACCTTCCAAAGCCGAAATCAACCACTTATACTCAAGGATCATGCAATTGTTACCGAGTGTTCATAACCGACCGAACACTTGCTTATCACATTCTGGAGGTGTGCTCCCAGTTTTAACCAATGAAATGGCGGTGAGGTGACACGCCTCCGTTTGTACAACAGAAGCTAGATCAAGGACGTTGAGTGTAATGTCACCATATCAATTTAACCAACTATTTATTATCAACACGTTTAATGTACCCTATAAAAAACATCCCTCATCAAATAAGGTCTAAGTACTGTTCACTTCTGTCATCTGTTAAAGCTAAATAGCTCTATTAAAACTTTATTAAATTGATCTGAAAAAAAAAACATGTCTAAATAAGGTCAAGGTCTCACTTTAGATTTAGCATGCAGGTAACTAAACTAATGCTCTCTCTTAACTAGCTATATTATACTATTACCTAATTCTAAGCTTCAAATAAATACCCCATTCGCAAATTGAAACAAATATTGTTAAAATACAATTAACCAATGCATTAAATAGTTTGCTTGTAGTACAACTCGTATTCAGTCAACCCTCACCTTTAGCTCGGCTGCCATGTCGACGTATGTCGTAGGCCTATTTGCAAAGACACGAAACGGTCTCTAGTCCTCAGTCGTCAACAGGTGCGTGGAAAAATAACCCGGCGTTAGAACCGATTTGCGAACTACAAATATGAGCATATGACTTAACGTAAGATTTGAAATATACAAGGGGAAAGACTTGAAAATAAATTTATTTTTACAAGAAGATAATATAGCATAAATACAATATACGTATAAAACTGTGAAAAAGTATATAAAACGATAAGAATAGATTAATATCTGCCTCAGGCCTCAAGGGTTCTCATACCATTGACATTTGTTTTTGTTTTATTTAACGGATCAACATCATGGCAGACGGGTGCAACCCATAAGTGTTTCGCTCTACTTCTAACTCAAGCCTGAGTCTGATGAATCTCAGCTCAGTGCACCGACTCACTAACACCGGCGAGGATCCTGAAATACTTTAGGTAGATTTTTAACTCCAAATTTTGCCCTGGCAACGCTGTTAGGCTACTCTTTTCAGTTTCCAACTGCCAATTTTTTTTTAAACGTGTGGAACAATACTCACGGGCGTTCGATCTTACTACCCAGAGACCAGGGGAAATTACAAGAAGTCCACGCGAAAAAATGCCAGCCTTCACCGGGACTTAAACCCGGGACCTCCAGCACTCGAGGTGGACGCCATACTTCGGGACGACTTAGCCTCCACTGACATTTTTTTAATCGTGTTGGATAACATTAAGGATTGGTGCAGAGGCAGGGGATCTTTGATATACTCAACCAAGGCATCAACATTGTGGTTTTTATTGGGCAATAGAATTGTAACAACATATGTTCCCAAGATCACACACACACACACACACACACACAGATACACACACAGACACACACACACACATACACACGCACGCACGCGCACACACACACACGGAGAAGTGACCTGAAGCGAAAGCGTACCAAATATTTGGAAGTTACGTCTACAGAGGTCTGTCTTTCAAAGACCACAGCTATGCAGTCATCTTAACGCCAAGAGAGAAATTATTGCACTGAACGTTATAGCTACTTCATGAGTAGAAAGTGTGATGTTATACACACTCAGCTGGTGTCTTATTGCGTCGGTCATTTAATACGGTCTGGGAATACTAAACGTATCAAACTGCCAATTACTGCCTCCATTTTACCAATTTTTGTTTAACCATATGACTAGTGCTGTTGCCAGGTGAGGATTTGCAAAACGTGTCAAAATCTCAATTGAAGAAATCGGAATGCACTCAGGGTTTGGTTATACGAACCATTATTGGATGCGCAAGGCACATACCGTGTGAGCTGGAGACACATCCTGGCTATGTCTTCCAGTGCTGGTAAATATAGTATGCTGAAAGCTGGCTACTTACCATCTTAGAGTTTGCAAGTCATCCAGAAAATATCCGTCATGGGAAATTGGACACTGTGAAGGGTGACAGACTTAACAGGGAACATCAAGGCCGTCTCTGTGTTATCTCTATTAAAGAAGGCCTTGGGCAGATCTTGGATGGTCTAGGATGAAAAGACCTTCAACAGTCTCCTCAGAGTCAAATAGATTTGCCGAGAAGAAGAATGGGTAACGATATAAGAGGGCAGAAAAGAGCTGCACAAAGTGGTTATTACCTTGGGAATGCAATGCGGGAAATAGGTGGCAGGACGTGTACACGCAGTTGTTCAACGACTGATGACAGAGGACAACTCTAGGACAATATATGTGATTATATACACTGAGTGGCCAGGGGCAGAAAGAGTGGATAAGGCTTAATTGGAAAAACATGGGGGAGAATGATGACTGAGGAGAGCATGAGAATGTGAAATTGATTCCGCACTGATTTCAAAGGAAAAAAATTGTTTCGGCTCGCGAAAATTTTGGTTCGTGAACCGAGTCAAAGAACGAGGTAACAGTGTATCACTATGGGTTCCAGGTTCTATTTGGGGTGGTGAAAAAAGGGGGTGAAGGGAATGATCCACTGCCTACTAAAAATATGTCGTAATATGCAAATAATTATCTTGGGAAGATATAAAGCCAAACGCAAAGTAGATCAGCGAGCTTCACAATATAATAAACACAAACAAAACGTGAACGTTGCAGCTATATAGCCTTAATCGGTACATTCATAAATCAAACAACTAATGCAACTAATTAGGGTTAACTGAAGTCGAACATGTTAGGCCGAAAGGGGCAGGAATTGTCGCCTAGCAGTAACCAATAACACAACGTGCAACCTGTCCTTGTAAAGGTGAGCGAAGAAGAGGAGGAATGGAGAATAACAATAGACGCACATAGATGAAAGTTAGTCTCCCCAAACAAAATAGGTCACGTTTCATTCACAAGTTTGTTGGGCGGTCTACTTTCCTGCAGGTTATGGGTGTGCGCTCTGTTGTTTGCTTTCTGTGATGTCTTGCATTTACGTTTTTCATTCCGAGTAAGAGAATGCATGTGGCATAGGTTGCAGCACTCTCTAGTGTGAGTTGTGTTAGACCCAGTTTGTCCATGTTTTTAAAATGTTAAAAGCGCTGGCGTGCTGAAATATACCACACAAGATATCAACAGCATTGTGAAACACAACCGTAACCTTGTGGCAAGGTTACGTGGCTCAAGGCCTACACGTCAGAAGTGAGCTAGTGTGTATATGGGCGAAATCTTTGGAGCTAAACATTACTTTACCTCTTTGAACATATGCAGTCGAAGATCTATTTCAAATGGTTAAAACAACATGAATCAAAACACACACACATGGAAAATTAATGCCTACAAAATTCTTTTTTCCTAACAATACGCAAAACTACACTTTATCGGCATTTTTTTTTTTAAGTGCTGCTTGAATAGATACTTTGGTGCGAACCAGCATCTTTTTATAAGACACGATTTGGTGAGTTAGTCAGTTAGTTGGTTAGTCTTTCCTCTTGAGCCTAGGGCGGCGCATAGGGCAGAGGTCATAGCTCTCCGTGTCTGGCGGTTCGTTGTCACCTGCTTTAGAACCTAAATGTGCATTAGGCCCAAGGCTTAGCCTTCCATGATGATGGTTCTACACAGGGTATCTCTTGGTCTTCCCCGTTTTTTTCCCTTCCGGGGTCCATTTAAGGGCTTGATGGGGGAGTCTGGTCTTTTCTATTCCGAATGCATGGCTGATGTTCTAGCGGTTCTTTATTTATTGTAAAAAGGTAAAGGTAAAGGTAAAGGTAAAGTCGTTAGATGTGAACCAGCGGCATTGCAAACGGTTATAAATCATAAGTGCTCTGCCACCAGTACTGACAGAAACTATCCGCCTGTGTCGCCGTCCACATGAAACTCTGTATCTACAGCGACGTTCCTCCATTTACCCTAGCGTGTTAACTCTGGTACAAATTTCCTAGAGGCTAGGTGAACCCCGAGTTAGTTGTGTATCTTTTACAAGGACGTTTGCGGAACCAGCCCCAGCATTTTTAGGCTGTTGAAGTTTTTCTAGGCAAATATTACGTTAAGTTTGCCAGTGTTAACAGTCAGCTCTCGGTGCCACTGTCAAAACCAGTGCAAGACAAACGGTCCGCACCCGGCACGCCGGCATTACGAAGAGCGTTCGCAACGCCTAAACCACAAAAGCCGACAGATCTATGCGTGGCCGACTTGAGCTAGCCGTGATCTATACTTAAAAAAAAGCAAAGGTCCATTTTCCACGCATTTAGGCATATAGGGCTAGCCCTATATTTTTAACGATCAATCGGCACAAGATGGATGATGTGGTCAGGATCACTTTGGCCGACTTTACTTCCCTGGACTGCACCCGGTACCCACTTAAGGTTGGCTCGACCTGGGGAGTCAAGGTCATTTTTGAAAAAAGTCCAGCTCCGCCAGGGAGCGAACCCACGACCTTCTGATCCGCATGCGAGCGTCTAGTGATATATACTAGGTATTTATAATTAACAAAGAGATCATGTATTAATCGGCACTCATAGAAGAAGTATAATTTATTTATACTAGATAGCAAAACTAGGCGCGACCTCGTTATATCATTCAATGATTTCCTAGTGCCTACATTAAATAAACACTTGGAAGGAAAAGAGAGTTGCCTAAAGAAATAACAAATAGGAATACACAAGTATAATATTTCAACCACACAGAAAGAGATTAAACTCTTTTAAAAACCACAATATAGTGGGAAAAAAAACTGAAGGCAAGAGTGCAATAGGTAGGCAATGAAGTAAACGGGTGTAGGATCAAGAGACAGACGAACAGCAGTCTAAAAAAAAAAGTCGAGAGGATCAACTTTATTGCACAAGAGTTTTATCTCATACGGTTCAGCCTATCTCCGCTGAACGGCCAGCTGCCTGCCGAGAACGTCGAGCAAATCACTGTAGCTCAGACGACGATCCCTGAGGATTACCGTAAAAATTGCACTCGTGAACCGAACGACGCAACACGACCTTCCGAGCGCGAGGCGAACGGCTTCGCCACAGAGACCTGAGCGAGTGTGCAACCAAGGCCATCTTCTTTACACTTGATTGAGTGACGACTGATCTCTACTAACGGTCTCTTGTGATACACGTGCGGGTAAAAGGGTGGAGGAGGGATATTCGACCCACTGCTCCTAAACAAGAACCCCGTAAAAGGCAGCTATTTTGTTTTGTTTTTTTAATCGGATGTGTTGGGGCGAAAGACACAGATATCGTAGCCTTTCTGTAAACTACAATACAAAGTCCAGATCGCTATTTTTAAGAGGGACACATAAGAAATGTTCTTAACAAAAGTGACAGCAGATCATTTGCTGCGGACCTAGTATCGCAGTATTTCCTTAGCAACCAGAGGAAAGCCGCGGTCACTAGTAAATAATCCAGGGGCACGCAGGGACACCCTTTACCACCATGAACGTTAATTACTGTATATTGTGACTACAAAAAACAAAAAAAAAAAAACGATTTCTGTGCACTCAAGCAAGATGAAGGTGGCATCTTTAAAAGGAATGTGTTTAACATTAACAGTCACTGCAAATTTCTTGCATAGTGTGAATAAG